GTTAGCAAAGCTTTAAATTTGTAAATAAATGTAAATAAAACTGTGAAAATATTGTCTTTGTTAAAATTTATATGTTTATATGTATAAAAATGTGATGCTGGAAAATTTGGTGATCAAAAGTATCTTTTTTTGGTGATCAAAACAATTGACACCCAAAAAAAATAATGGTTATATAGCCCATTGAGTAAGGGTACACAAAATTTTCTACAAAATGTTATGTTTCACTCTTAATGAAATCTTAACGTTGATAAATCAATCTATCAGAAAATGGGAACATAAACTCATTATGAAAGAATACACCCACATATATAGTTTTGTGAATTGTGTGATGAACATTCATATAAACATCTCATAAAGCTGAAGAATCAGAGATACAAACAAATAATACGAAAAGAATAGAATAATGCTAATATCCAATTAAAGGAGGTACTAGGCGAAAATTAATGTTTAACAAAGCAATAAATAATGTTTAACATGCTAGAAGATGTAAGCGAGATGTTTAAACACCTGAAGTTATAACTTAACAAGAAGTGGGTAAACTATTATTGTAGTTTTCTTGTGTTCCTTTCATTATTGTTTTCTCACAAAGTTTATTAAAATAAATTTAAAAGCTGATTAATTGAGCCTGTACGTGTACATGAGAGACACATTGAAACTAAATCGTTTTATTGGCCATTATTATTAGTCATCAATAATAAATAGCTTTTATGAGAGGAGCGGTAGAGAAAGAAACAAACACCAGCGAGTCTTCTAAATTGAGACTGCTTTTTTGATAAAATGTGATCTCATTTTGGACGTCTTAACTAGCATCAAACAAATATCATGACGGGAAGCAAAGTGAGAGTGAATGCAAAAAATAGTGGTTAAGAAATCACTACTATTAAGAAGTCGCCAATACCAGAAAAAAGAGTAAAAAATTCACGATTAACTGTATGAACAATTGTTTCAATTACAAAAATCATCTCAATTTTTCGTTTCGCTTGTTATTAAATATTGCTCTTGACACTTACGCCATCATACTGCCAAAATTTAAAAATGTTTTATACTCTTCTCGTTTGATGGTGATTGCAAACATACTTCAAAATTGTAAAATAATTTTAAAGAAAATTGCCATCACCAACAACCACCCATTTAATTTTCTCATAATCGTTTTGTAATGCCAAAACTCTAACAATTCAATCAAAACAATAGACATAGCACATTTTATCGCTTAAAAATTATAGTTGCTACTACCCATTCGATTAAAAAAGGATGCCGATGATTAATTTTCCAATTGTATTTTACAGGCAACAAACGCAGAGACGAAAGATCTCTTAATCCCCAGGCTGCTTTAGCCTTAGTTAGCCTCCTCGAACAATTATGCTACTTCCACCTCACCACCTGTTGTAGCACATGTAATCCTGCATCAGTTATTCGTTACGGTTAGTAATTTCGGAACTGAATGAAAACATAGTTATTGATCATTCTACATCTTATGTCAAGGTTGTTTCCTAAAAAGCGTGGAAAACGTATTGCAAGCAATTGAGCGATTTTGAGTGCAGGTATACGAAAAACTAAAAACTTCATAATTCCATCGAAAGTAAACCAAACCACTTGGAATTTTCAGAAAATGATTAAAAGAATACTTCAAACGTTTAGAACACTAAAACGATACTTGAATGATCTTTCTCACTGGAAGCATCTTGTAGAATTTAATATTTCTTTAGATATGTATCAACACTAAGTAAATGAAAGGACGTATTTCATGAAAGTTTCTAGTTGTTGGATTTATTTTTGTCTGTCATTTATCATAGATACATGTGTCTAAGCGTCTATTGTATATCAAGGATATTTCATTCCTCTATCTGTTTCCTATAAATACAATTGGAAAAATTACCGTCGCTATTCATTTTTTAAAGAGAACAGTACATACTTTACAGATTAATTAGGTCAAAAAGATGGTATTATATAATAGGTCTAGTAATATCAGCAAACATGGATGGCAGTTAAGATGGCCAAAAAAATGGATTGCTTTTCTCGGAATAATCCAGATTGTTTTAACATTAGCCATTGCTGGAATGGAAATCGGTCATACAATTGTTGATAATTATCGTTCAACAGCGTTTGGAGGTTTTATTTTATTTATTCCATTGTTGCTATGCGCTATACTAGTGCTTTTAACAGGTATATAAAAGCGTGTTTGAACAAAACTCGTTCAATTATCGACTCACTGTTCACATAAATGATGGTAATATGAATATGTGTTACAGTTTGGCGACTAAAATTAGTATAAAAAATTGCTTGTCAATATATCAGTAGTATTGGATTGATTGTAATTCATTATATCGACTAATTCCTTCGAATACTGATTAATTATGATGAATTAACAAACTACGCTTTAAATGAAGCAATTTCAAATTCAAAAAGTGAAACGTTTAGTTTTTACCGATATAATAATAAAAGTTCCAAGTTTTCCAACCTCACGAGAGCGAAAGGTTTTCGACAATGATATCTAAATCCATAATTATTTACGAACTGTCTTTAAAAGTTCTTTGGATATTTCAATAAACTAATAGTGTTCGTCAGTCATTTAAAAAAATCCTGTTCTGTTTCGGAAGAGTTTAGGACTTACCTAAGAATGTTAAAAACCTTAAAATGTATTCGAGAATGGCCAAAAAGATTCAAAAGAATTTTTAACACTCCTAAACTCTTTTAGAAATATCGAGGAGAATATCACCGCATGAAACATCTTCTAGTTTATGAGAATCCATAAACTCTTCTCGGTATTTAATTTGGAAGAATAAAATCGGATTTTTTCAAATGACTAACGTACCCTATTAGTTTAATAAAATATCCAAAGGACTTTTAAAGACAGTTTATAAACCATTATGAATTTAGGTGCCATTTTCGAAAACTAAACCACTTTTTCAGGAAAAAAGACGAAAAAAGAATTATAAAAAGAATTATATATGGCTTAATAGAAATTGTTTCGATAAACTCTAGAAACTTTCACATCATATGAACTGTTACGGTTTTTTCTATTTTTAGCTATTAAATCAAGTGTACTTTTTCTTCGTATTGCATTAGTACTATGTTGTATTCTTATTTTATTATGCTGTGTGCTAATCGCATATGATATTTTGATCAACATTGATCCAACACGATGTTTTTTCCTTAGTTGTGCAAGTGCAACAGTCCAAGTTAATTCAACTTACAGTGTTGTCGGATGGCCAAGTAAGTGTTTTTGTCTTAAAAAGACATTCAAAGACTGTGATCATATTTTTGACTGTAGTTTACATAACTTGGCCAAATACATTTCAAAACAATATGAATTATAAGCGAATCCTGATGAGTATTCAACTATTGTGTGCTGGTTTATTCATTTTAACTTGTTTTATTTACATTGTCGTCTATCTTATTTATAGAAACATTAATTTATATAGCAAAGCAGAATATTCATATAATTCACCTCATCAGAATAATTATGTTGTAACAACATCAAATCGTATAAAAAATTATCCTCCCACAAACAACACTGCATACCATCATAAAAAGCAAGTTCAAACTTATACAGTTCAAGGCCATCCGAATTATCATCAAAATCATAGTTCATTGTACAGATTATATGGTACAAATTCAACTAGCATACAAACTACTGCTCGGCCACAATCTGTCCTATCTACACATCAACGACACCAAACGTACAAAGTAAATCCAATCTCCACTCTTACTTTAAATCGTATATGTACAAAATGTCGCCGAGAACCGGCAATAACAACATCACGTATTAAAATGAAAGATAATTATTTCACAAATTTATGTGAAAACTGTAATGAAGGGTTAAATTACTATAGAGAACGGCCGGTTGTCTCAGATAAAGATAATGACAGAGTATGGAAACCTTAATAAACGTGTTTTAACATATTGATGATAGATGAAAAACTGTTTTATTTCTTAAAAACTATATGCAAGACTATCGTGAAACGTTTGTTTGGCCAATGTGAACGTATAATAATAGCTTCATATGGTATACATATTTAAAATTAAGAAAATTAGATGTAGAACATTTAAAAGTACAAGAGATAAGGAGATGAAGTCGTCTATTGATCATTTTTTCTTTTTCATCTGTCTATTAAAACTGTTCGCCCGTTCTCAAATCCATAAACTGTGAACACATTATCTTATCAGGATTAAAAAATTAATATTTTGATTTATTTGAATTATTTGACTTGACCTCTAAGGTTTCTAGCTTTCTGACAGTGATCTACGTGTTTTCTTTCACGAACTATAAATTCTCTGCAAAAATTGGAAATTATTTTATGAGAGAGATTTTTGATGGGATCCTGATTTTAATGTTTAAACTCAACTCTGTTTGTACTAATAGTTTTGTTTTAAACTGCTTGTTAGTTACAGAAAATCCCAAGTCTTGGAAACTTTTTATATATATTCTCAACTGTGTTAAAAGAAACGTTATAAAAAAGCAGACTCAAGGACTGTGCGTATAGTACGATCCATTCAAGTTTCCAAGACCTGAGCTTGTCTTCAACAAAAACAGAAGTTGTAAAACAAATATATTAACATTTCTCTTTCCATCATTTTAGCAAATAAGCCCTTAAATTCGGTGAAAATCGCTTCAGAACTCAGATACCAAAGTCACAAATTGAACAAATCTATTTTCGGTTCCAATTCAACACTTTACTCTAGACCCAAGAATATTACTTTGTTCTCACTTTGTGCCTGTATAAAAATGCTGCCAGTCTATGCTGATAGACCAAAATATACCAAAGAGAGTTAAAATAAATTGATTGATTTGATTAAAGAAAGACAAAAGTTAATGTTAAGACCGGATCAGTGCAATTTAATATTCCGCTCTCCACTATTTATAATCGTTTGGAACATAATCGGAGGCCAAGAGAAGGTCAAACAATTTTTCTTCTATTGCTGAAGAAGAGTTTTTTGTGAAGTTAAGCAAATTGTATCAAGAATGGCAGCAACCAGTCTCAAAGCCAGATCACTGGCCAGATTACTGAATTAACGAAGACATACATGAATCAATTGGGAATGAAAGTGAGAAATCAATTTGGTAATGAATTAAAATTGAATGATTCGTATTATGGATTTTTAGCAAGATGGTCTACAGAATTAAAAATAATGAAAACATCATCGTTAGAAAAAATACTATCACAATCATTAACATCAGATGTAATCAAACATTGGTTTAATCGTTTAAAATTAATTATGACTAAATTAAATTTATCCGATCGTCCACAATCGATTTTCATTGTTGATGAAAGTGGTTTTTCAGATCAGCCAGGGTGTAAAACAGTCATTATTGAATGTTCAACAAAAATTGCAATATCGACTCATGGTGGTAGTGGCAAAAGCTTCATTACGCTCTTATTATGCACATCAGCAAGTGGTCGATAAGAATTAACTTTTTATCTAATCGAAGGGCGCGTGATCTAAGAGTGAAGGTTAATCGTTCATTTCTAAAGGCTGAACTTTACATTTAACTAAAACTTATCACTATATATTATATACAAAGCAAAGCAACTGTACGATCACTGGTGTCCGAAAAATGCGTACAAGGGAACAAGATTTAATGCCATCGAATCAGGATGAGTTGAAGTACCCGTGCTTTTCGATTGGTTCGCTAACATGTTTATACCATTCAATGCAGCTGTTCAGCCTGTATGTATCTATGTTACTTAGAACCAGAGGTGCAACCGGTATCGGTATACCGGTACGAATTATAACGCCGACCGGTATACCGGCATTAGGATGAAGTATAATCAATCGGTCGATGATATTGCTGGTATTTTGCGGTATGATACGACTTTTTTCAAAAAACATCGTGTAAACTCACTTCATCTGTGACATATTCATTTCGCTAAAATGTTTTGTCGGCTTATATAAACTTCTTATTTTAAAAGATTGAATTGGATTACTGTTTTCGTAAAAAAAAGCGTGTGAAAAATCAGCTATACATAATTAAAGGGAAAATATTAATCTATCCCTTTGATAACATAAGATAAAGTTCACAGTAAAGAAAAACAAGAAAAAAGTGTTTGTATTTAGGCAAAATATGATCAAGACAAGCCTATACCGGCCGGTACCGGTACGAAGTTTGTATACCGATGACTGGTACCGGTATCACATTTTTGATACCGGTTACACCCCTGCTTAGAACTGACCTGAATGGTCAAAAAAACGTTTTAAACCTTGGGAATTATGAAAATCCACAATCTTCAGATTATGTTTAAACTTATTTTCTTCAAGAAAACTTCTTATGAGGTGAAAGGATTTGACAAATACTCTATGAATCTTGTTTGAGTGGTTTAGGACAAGTTTCGTCTTAGGAACACTTTGAAATTCCTTACGGATAGACAAGGAATTTCAAAATACGGTTCTCAGTTAAATCGATTGGAATTCTAACTTCACCCTATGTGATTCGAAGTTCACCCTAAATAGGATTAACTTAGAATATTTTTCGTCCAACAGCACTTAAAAATCTCGCTTCTAATTCTTTCCCTATTAAAATAAAATTTTGTAAATGATCTAGGCTTCTAGAAAAGACTTTGATCTACCTGACCATCTATTTTTTCATTTATAGTTAATGTCAAATTAATTAGAACTTGAAAAACATCAGTCTTCTTTAATTCTAAAATCACCCTACGCATGTCTACGTGTTGTACGAATTCACCTTATTCAGGGTAATTTTGGAAAATCGATGGATAGAGAGAAAGTCTTTCTTGGTTCAAATCTAGATAAGATTTTCGAAAAGTTTTTGGATAGATCGATAGGCCATCATCTGTCAGAGAGATATGTCGAATCAGATTTCAAAAAAAGTGATTAAAAATGACAACTTTGCTTCACATTTTTATTCCAAATTCACCCTAATCAACTCTACAACAAACCATTCCTTACAACTTTATGATGTGCCTTACCGTGTGTTTATAATATGCGATTGAGTTTACTAGAAAATTATTAACGAGAACATTTGAAAATTTGGCATTAGAAAATTGCTTCGCGCTTTTAATTCAAATTCATCCTAATCAACTCTATATTATTTTCGAATTTTTGTCTACTAAATCAAAAAATAAACTCGTTCTATTCATTCAACAAAGATAAGACGTGTCTACGAATGGCTAGAAAAAGTTTCTAGTACTTGATTTCTTCAACAATTCGTCAATTTTTCATGAACTTTTCATGAAAAACAGTTTTTATTGTGTTCTAAATAGAACAAAAATGTTAAAAATCTTAACACTCTTTTTATTTCAAAACTTGCTGTTCTAAAGCACTTTTTGAATTTAATCAGAACAGTTTTCCACTGATGTTATAGAGTTTAACTATACCACCATATATGGGACATAAAACACGAAAATTTAATGAATTTTTGTGCATACCATGTTGTTATAAAAATTTATTTTTCTTGTATTATGAGTATCGTGAACGCTTTTCAACAACAATGAACAAGATCTTCACCCTTTTATATATTAAAAAAGATTTTGTCTTCTATGGAAATAGAAGATTTTTGAATGTCAAATTCTTTATTACACCATTTATCAACTTTCTTATTTTCTTCAAGAATCATACAGTTTTCAAGATCTAAAATGAGTTTATTCGTGAACAATTATACTCTCTCTATGATTATATCAATCAGACACAATTTTTAAGTAAAATTGAATCTTTTATTTAGAAAATTATTATCAAACGAGAACTTATTGCTATGGGAACAAAAGATTAATTATATCATTATGTGATTAATTATATCATTTAGACAAATACAAAAGTTAAAAAAATAAGTAGACATTTATATTGTTTTAGATTTTCGAGTACCAAAACTGAATAAATTTGGTATAATAGCTGGAATCGTTTTTCTATATTCAACATAGGCTTCACCAAATATCATTATTAATTTTTTTTCTTCAATTGGTATTCCAATTGATACATAAACACATAAATAGATAACAAATAAGAGTCGATCAAATGATACTGTTGGTGACACTATAATAGCAAGAAATGTAAATAAATATAATGGATGACGACATAATTGAAATAAACCAGTTGTTATTAACTGAGATGAACCAGTTGTTCGTTGTACATTTGTCATTGACAATGGACATTTGGTTGATGTTAAATTAGATGAATATAATAGTTGTTTTATACCCAAAAATTCAAATATATTAAATTTGAATGGAACATAGAGACCTTGAAATAGATAGAAAGAATAAATGTTTTTATATTTGTATTATTTAACAAATTTTTTATTTATAATAACAGACAATGAGTATAGTTTAATCTTATTATTGTATCTTTCTGATGAATAATCTAGTAGAACAATATATTTTTTAAAGAATTTTTATTATCAAAGATAGTTTATATATTCTCTCTCACCTGGAATTAAAATTAAAATAAAAATAATCGTTAGAATAATATCACGTTGATTTTCTGTTAACATTAAATTTTTTAAAAAATCCCATAATTGAATTTGTGTATGTTGCCATAATCCAATAATTAACCAACTTGTTATACTAACTAATAATATATAAACTGTTCTTAATGTTGATTTTGGAAATAATTGATTCATTGAATTTTGAATTTTTTCTTGTGCAAAATAGGTATGTACAAAACCAAATATAAAACATAATAGAGCATTAAAAATAATTTTATTAAATAATGATAATTCTAAATTAATCCATGGTATATTAAAAAATGATTTAAATAATGATGGTATCAAATTAATTAAAAATAATGGTAAATGCATATTACAAGCAGTCCAAATAAACAATATATTAGAAAGAAAAGTACCAAATAATATATTTATCATTAACCATATTATTTTACTTATCAAATTTAATTCATCATTTCTCATAGAGGATTTCATTTCTAAAAATAATAAGAGAAGAATTTTTACTATTATGAAAACTGTCTTTAAAATGAAAATATTATTAATTAATTTCTTCTTATTGTTTTTTCATTAATTTATAAAAATATTTTCAATATCAAAAAAATATCATTTTAAAAAAATAACAATAACAAATAGACGAAGATTCACTATCAATCAAAATGAACACATTAAATTTCTTCTTGATATCGTATACTTTTATTTTGATTGTATTAAGTTTTATTTACATAAACAAGAAAAGAATTACATCAGAAATAGTCTGACTATTGAGTATACACAAATACATAAAATATAAATGCGTGAAATGTCTGAAAGTTTTTTGTTTAATATAGAGTTCAGATGTAAATTATTGCACGCTTTTAATTTAACAAAATCTTTTCCTGAAATTATAATTCTTATTTTTTTCTATATAATTCAGTTATAATGACTGATAAATGATAATTTAATATTCAACTTTTCAGAAAATTATTCAGATGAAAAAATATTCAACATATATCTAAGTTTATTATAAATATCTACGATGTCTGTTTAATATCTGTTTTAATATCTAACGATTTTTGTACATTTTTATACATTGTATTTATTCGTGATATGATTTTTTGAAGTATGTCATTTGTCATTGATGAACTAAATACCTAAAATTATAATAAAAAAAAAAACACAAAAAATATGATTTTATATTAAAAAAAATTTCAATTACTCTCTTTGATAGTTATACCTTCATCCATTCTGTATGATCATTTTCATCAATTCCTTGTATATCAATTTGATATGTTTGAAGAATTAGATAGATACATGTTAAAGCTCGATGTTGTGGTTGAATATCTTTTTCAGAAGGTGCTGCACATAAATGATAATCATAGTATGTATCTTGTAAAATTGATAGACATAAATCAACTAAATTTGGTACACGTAACCATTCATCTTTTGTTATCCAATTTTGTAGAGTATCCAAATAGTGTAATAAATATTTGTGTGGATGAGAAAATTGACAATGAAAACCTAATATTCGTATTAGAAATAATTCACATTCAACAAGTGTATTACGAAGACGATGATATTCATCAGATATACGTAAATGAGAATCATTAGGATGTAATGTTCTAAAAATAGACAATAAAAAAAAAAAAGAAGGAATATATTAACAATAGATATTTATTAAATAATTGTTTTTACCTGTGTGCAACATTGATTAAATCTCGTATTTTAACATGTTCTTCTTCATATTTACTTGCTAATGATAATGAAGTTGTGGCTAATATCTGGAGAAAATAAATAAAAATGAAAACTAATTTCACGTTTTTTTTTCTTCAAAAATGAACACTAACTTACATGATGATCAAAATTTGTATTTTCAAGATATGCCGCTGATTTATGATATATCACAGCTGCTGAAGCTGTTGTCATTATACTTAAACGCAATTTTGCCGCTATGATATAACGAGAAAAAAATAGATAATAAATAATAGAACATGGTTACCGTTTGTGATACTAACCGCATTCAAATATATAATTAATAATTACATAACGTTGTTCTTCAGAATCGGAGACGACTGAAGATGACATAATAATAATCTAAAACTCAGCAACTCACAAAAACAAGTTTAATATGTTTCTTAATTATTTTTTTTCAAATATATATTTATCAATAAGATGGGATCAGTGTCTGAAGTAGCATGATCAATAAATATTATCTTTTAAACGAGTTTGCTTCATGTGTAATTCTATAGAAAGACAAAAACAAATCTAATAATTAGAAACTTTCATGAAATACGTCCTTTCATTTACTTAGTGTTGGTACATGTCTAAAGAAATATCAAATTGTACACGATGCTTTCAGTGAGAAAGATCATTCAAGTGTCGTTTCAGTGTTCTAAACGTTTGAAGTATTCTTTTAATCATTTTCTGAAAGTTTCAAAGTGGTTTGGTTTACTTTCGATGGAATTATGAAGTTTTTAGTTTTTCGTATACCTGCACTCAAAATAGCTTCAGCATAAGGAGGAAAAACATGATCTTCGTTGATAGTATCGGTTTATCCCTTTGGTTACGTTTCTTTTTTGGAAAAATGACAAAAAATTTGATGTTTTTAAAAAAGCCTGAAATAAATGTATGCATACATGATGGTGCTACAAGATGATGCTGTGATACTGGCGATATGAGAGAGACAGAGAGCACTCTTACGGCCTCACTAAAAGGGAAGGTCATAACAGCCGTAATCTGAGCAAAAGCGCAAAACGTATATATACAGGTCCTTTAAGCAAAGGGTAAATGAACAGAAACTGTGTTATATCTCAGAAACCAAAAGATTATCAGACCTCATATGTATATATACATCAGATGAAATGCAATCAAAATGTTTCTTCAATAGTGGCATTCACACGTGTGTGTGTTTGTTTTTGAGCATGCCATTCAATGTACGTAGATACAACGAGAAGAAGATAAGTAGAAAACATGTGATATCATAGAGGAATCTTGCACAAATAAGCGATAAACGAATAGAAAGAAAAAGAGGAGACTGTGCATCACTTGTTACTATTAATAAACAATAATAAAATATATCCTTATATTTTCTATTCAGATTTTGAAAGTTTCATGGACTATACAACTGACAATTGCAGTAATGCAGAATAAAAGAAAATTTATTCCGGATAACTAAAAATGTAGAATATCTTGGAACTGTTCGGTTCAAAAACTTTTAACTTTTAAAAAGAATCAATTTGGGATATATAATAAACTTCTGTTTCTTTAATCACGGGCATTCAAAATGATTTTTTACAACGTCATTATCATTTTTTTCTCGCCATCAAAAACTTTAGTATAAACACTCTCTTTCATTGTTCTAGTACAGAATTCAAAGCTTTGTTTATGTTGTTATATGACAATAATGTATAATGCTAAATAAACGATAGTCATTTCTGAATGTACTTCAAGATTAGCTTGCATATCAAAAATAAAACAAGTCAACGAATATTGATAGAGCAAGCACGACTAGCATCAAATAAAACAAGAGCCATGTAAAAAAATTGAGCAGAAAACACTGCCGAAGCTCAACATTATTTTTAATCAAGGAAAAGTAATGTTAAGATGTATTTAAAGCTAGTATTGTTTTGAAGGATTTATAATTTCGAATAGACGCCATAACCTTAATATTTAGTTCCGAAAGTCTATTTCTACACATATAAAGTAACAGATAACTGTGTATATTCATGTATGTATACATCTATTTCAGACTTTTTTGAAAAAATCAAATTTTAGAAACTGAAAACAGGAATTTCACACATGTACATTCTGTAAAGCCTCTAGTTCGGTCATCCCAAGTTATAAAAATTTCCACAACATCACATTTTGTTCAGAATTGAACATTCTATCCAACAATGTGGTTAGAAAAGTTTTTGGATAAAGTTTGACTTTAAAAGATTTTCTAGAAAACTCGGATCTTCAAGCCCGTTTATCTTAAAACCCCTACATGAACCAAATTATTTTTTCTTTGCATATCTAGTATTTGCAATGCTCTTTCATTTAAAATCATCCGCATCAATTTTAGAGTAGGATGAGACCCTGTGTGAGCTTCACACGATGGGCCAAAATAGCTGGAAAACGGCAAAAAATTTCACCACTTTTGCTGAGAGAGTAAAATGCTAATAACTTTTTTTCCCGCAACAGCTACAGACCTGCGATTTTCACCAATAAATTCAGCGTAGCACGTTCTACAGAAGCCATGCTATCTCATCGCTGGCGTCGAGAGTGTATGTAATGGTGGTATGTTTCACGTGGATTCGATTCACTCATGTAACATGTGATATGAACAACAAATCTATTTCTGGATTACAATCATGTTACTGTAGCTTATACGTTTTAGATAAATAATACACAATTTAATATCTTTTACTGACAAATACACATAAAATCTATCTCATTCCATATGAAAACTATACTGATTTGCAAAACCGAATAGTTAAAAAAACCTATTAACAAAAGTACTTTCTTTTTTTTTCTCTTTCATAATAAAAATGAATGATAAATTATGAATGTATACGTTTTCAAAAAAACAAACAAAAAAAACAAATTTTTGTTTCTAATAGTTTTTCATTCATCACTAACTTCTTATCTTATAGCAGATTTAAGACAGTAAGATTGTCGACTTTTTATTACAAAACATAGTTTTTCTACACAAGAAAACAAGAATACAAACATTCATATGCATACATATTTGAAATACGAAAAAAAAAGAAGAGAAAACAACGTATGCACATCTGAGATGAGAAAACAATCTTCTATTATGATAACAAAATTATACACAAAATAAAATCTAAACTTGTTGTGTTGATATAGATCGTTTTTTCATTCGTTTTTCTCGATTGTCTTCATCATCATCTTCATCATTATTTGAAACTGTCGCTGTTGGAAGTATTGGTAGAGATATCGGTATATCATTTGTTGTGTCATCTTGATCTTGAATTTCATTTGACGGTGGATTATCTACTTTACCTTCAACTGAATTTAATAATGACGAAGCATCATCTAAATATAAGATAGACAAAAGATAATTATAAAATATAAATTATTCTTGTCAATCATTAACTAATATTACCTAAATCATCATCTGGTTCTCCCATACTATCTTCTTGAATGGGAGGTGCGGTGACCGACGGTATAATTTGTGCCTGTTGCTGTTGTTGTTGGGAAGGAAGAATGTACTCTCGACGAATTTTTTCACATGTTGACATAATAAATAGTGCAATACTTTGAACAGTTTGATTACTATGCACAAAAAAATATGGACTTTGTCGAGCAAGTAAACGTAATGCACGCCATAAACGTGATGGATCTTGTGATAGTAGACGTTCACGTTCCTTTTCTCGTTCACGTTCTTTTTCTCGTTCATCAGTAGCTGTTGATGTTGAAGGAACTGGAACTGTTTTGAGTTGATCAATAATTGGTTCAAAAAAATCTCTTAATGGTGGTAAATAATGTTGTGATGGAGAACGTAGTTGTTCAATATCCATTGTACGACGACGAATTGCTTGACGAACAGATTGACTATAATCAAAAGATTATTCTTCATTTAGTTGATTGAATTCTCTCTTTATAATTAATCATAAAAGATAAACATACCGAATATTTTCTGATAATTTAACATTTAATTTATATGGTGTTGTTCGTTGATTTAATTTTGCTCTCGTAAAATCTTGACAACCATCATTTTTCCAATTATTCCATAATTCTTCTCGTTTAAGTACATGCTTTGAATTGGATAATAATAATAATAATAATATTCATTTGGATAATACGAATATAACCCGTATAAGTTTGCCTATTTAACACATACCTGTACGGCATCCGTAAATGTAGTCGCATTTGAACCAGTTTGTTTTAATAACTAAAATGATTAAGATAAACAAAATATTAAATAAATATAAAGAAAAAAAATATATTCTTCTTACTTGTATAATTTGATTTGTTGTATTTTTAATCCATTGTGCTTGTTCATCGTTCAATATATGTTGAGGTCTAAAGAGAAAAATTAAAAACATAACAATAACAAATTTTCTGTTTGACAAAAGAAGAGATCGATTGTGCCTACTGTTTAAATTTAACAGGTGAAACAAGATATTGAAATATGATTAAAAATTGAACAAGAATATTTCGACGAAATGTAGAATCATTTAATTGTAAATCTAAAAGCTAGAAAAGAACGGGGAAAAAAACAATATGAATAAAGTAGAATACATCATAACAAAGAATGATTATGTATAAGTTAATATAATATGTGAACGTACTTTTTCACTGGTTAAATATTTTGCAAAAAATGTTTCCTGATTTGATGATAATGGCGTTTTCATATCATCCAATTGATTTGTAACAAATATATCTAAAACTTGATTAGTATTCTAAAATCAAATAAAAATAATTCATCCCAATTCTTAAATAATAAACAAGTTGTTCTCTTACCTGAACAAATGTGGCCCATAATGTTTTATCCCAAAGTTGTACTGGACGAGAAAAATAATCTTGTAATAGCCAAAAATTTGTATAAAATTCACTCGAATTTTTTTGATGTCTATAATTAAAAAAGAATATATTTATATTATATCTAAATAAGCTTTAATTAATACTGACAAATCATGTATTTCACCATCTTCATCCACTTCCATTTTTTTCTCCTTCTAGAAACAAAACAAAAAATAATCGATTATTTTCTCTTTTTTTTTAATAATGTTTCTTTTTTTTTTCTGTTTTATAACACTCACTTCGCCATCGTCCGAATCAGGTTTTATTCTAGCTGTTGTTAATTTTGTTACATTTTCTGTATTAAAATTTCCAATTTGATTTAAACCTAAAATCAAACGATGCATTACCAAACACAAAAATTTTCTTAAAAATGTAATTATACCAGATTTTTCATTTAAGGGAAATAATTGTGCTAAAAATGTTAATATTCGTCCAGAAAAGACAGTTTTTTGAGTTTTAGATAAACGTTTTAATAAATCTGAACAAAAAAGAAGAAACAATTAAAACATAATAAAAAAATATAATCGATGTTAACATACATACCGTTACACATGCGAAGAAGAACATTTTTAACCGAACTATAAAACATATCCTATAAATATAAAATATGCAACTCATTATATGAATAACTTCTCTTAATAATTTTTCAAAAAATAAAAAATAAATAAAACTAAATTTAAATTTACAAATACATTCTAGATACATACCGATCTCCAAACTTGTGCTTTTTCTTCCATTAGAATAAACACTTTTTCGCTTATATCGATTGTTGTATAAGCAAATAAATCGTTAAATAGATGAACAGGCATTGTAGGTGTACCAAGTTCTAAAATAAATAAATAAATAAATAAATAAATAATTATTTTTCTTTCTTAGAAAACAAAGTAGACTATTTTTCATACCATTGTGAACTGCTTCAATAGCCGCTTCAATTAGTGGTCTAACATTTAACAAAAAGTTATCCTCAACATGAAAAGAATTTTCTTGAGTTAGTAATTGTTGTTCCTAGAAGAAATAAAAAGGAAAAAATATATTAAATATCTGAATGGGAAAAATATAAAAAGAAAAACAAAGTAGACAGTTCAAATTGAGATTTTTTTTTCAATAGTTTTTTGTATAGAAACTTTTGAAAATATGCGTTAAATTAAAAATTTTATCATCATTTGCAAGAAAAATAACTCGATACACTTATATTATTATTGAAAACAATTCATCGACAATATCACATTCAAATCAAATGATAAAATAGAAGAAGAATATGTTGTGTAGATAAATTCGAGCATGACAAACAAAAACCAATAATTTGATATTACTATTGGAGATCAAAATAAGTACATACATAAATTTATTGTCAGATACTACAAATAGATTTTTGTCTGATAGTTGAATTAAAATAAATACGCGAGAATGTTTATCTTTTTTTTTTTTGAAAATAGTACTCATTTCTCTCTTTGTAAATCATGTTTAACATAATTATCATTTATGAACAAAACGAATATATTCGGCTTTTTAAACTAAATCTAACATATTTCGTTGTTAAGTCAATTTGTTGTCAGTCTTTCATTTCTTTTCTATCTTTGAACAGATAACAGTTGCCTATTTCGTCATCCACCTCGTACACCATATCTTTTAACCAATAGTGCTTAGTGAACTAGAGTGAACAATTGACAACTAATCAGTCAATTTTCATTAACTTAGATAATTATGAACATGTACAACTTTAATTCATTATCAATTTTCTTATTATTCTACTCTATGAGTACAAACTATGTTATTTGTCTCAAACACTTTATTCTATTTATTTCTGTAACTATGATACTTTAAACATCTGTTCTCTAAAACATACTCTATAGCTTATAACTTTCTACATCTCTATCGGAAGCAACACTAGAGTTGAGCACTTGAGACTAATTCTCGTCACGTTCGTTATTTTCATATATATTTCTATTCCTATATATGTATATGATAGACTATTCTGGCTTCGTACTGAGCTTTTTCTAAAAAAAGAGGAATTAAGGAGGAATCGCAAAATCTTGAAAGGAGGAACGCCACCATAAAAGGTTATTTTTTTGCATAAATGAAATTGAAAATGGAAGCAAACAGATTTACAAGTTAAAAGAATTATTGATGACACGACAGATGATGATAGGAAGATAGATAACGGAGATCTAGAAAAGGGAAAAATGCACATACCAAACAGAGAACTACTGATGACTCGCTATAAAATGATAAAAAATTTCTATTGACTACAAAAATACTTATAGTACAATAAGGATCGAGATCACAGTGTAACTATCACTACCGGAACAGACGGTACTATACTCGTGAGAAATATAAGAGGCAACGCATGATAACTAAGGCCTTAAGAAGGCTCTTTGATCAAACGCTATTGGAAAACTAGTCAACTTTGTCCAAAAAGGAGGAAAAGGAGGAGAAACTTTTATTTAGGAGGAATGAGGAGGAAAGGAGGACGAGTACGATGCCAGACCATTCTCACTAAGATGAATCATGGCACTTAGAAAATGCAACATCTTATGTACGCAAAAGAATGTCGAATAGGCATAGAAGTAAATATCTTGTAGAAACTGTGATTGCACTCTAGTACGACTAACAATTCTGATGTCTCTCTGTTGATCCGAAAAACTTTATATACAATTCTGACTGTGCTTTTTATTCCTTGACAAAATTTCTATTTACCATTAGTTCAAATAAAACAGATCGAAATGCATATTCAACAGCTGCACGATGTTCAACAGAACCGTTTCTAAAATAAACAAATAAGCAAAAATGAAGTTCATAAACACTCCTTCTCAGTTTTCATATATACTTTGTAGTGAGCTCACGAATGTTTGTTACATTCCATGATGAATTTTTTAAATCTTTCTAAAACATACAATGAATCTAACTATTATTAATAGCCAAAAGAAGAAATAGATATATTACTTGAACAGTTTGATAAATTTGTTCAAACATTGATGATTGTTGTTGTGTTCCATCCATTTCAATTTTCATCTAAACATATTAAAACTAGAGCTAAAAACCGATTTCATCATTAAAAAAATAGTTTTCAAAAAGAACTCAATCATTGATAGAACTTTATTCTTGTAATAGTAATGAAAAGTAATAAAAAGAGTGAATTTTAAACATTTTTGTCTAGTTTGTTAACTAAACAACAAACAACGTGTATTATTCAAATATTTTACCAGTACAATAACAATACCGATTCACTTTCTTTTACAACTAAAATGGAATTATTACGAGATAAATAAAACAAAATGACTATGAATAAAGCTACAAAACATTCCAATAATAAATCAGATCATTCTCGAAAAAAACCAACGTTTCGTCGTTGTAGTAGATAATGTTCACATTTTAAATAACCGAACACACACGTCGTTCCTTCCATGGATTTTGCTCTTTATGTTGAAAACCAGCTACCAAACAATCAGCTGGAGCATGTGCATGACAAAATTTAATTAAATCATTTAATGTCACAGATGCTAGTTCACGATGTAAATTAACTTCAAAACGTAATTGCTCTACAGTTTTACGCATTTGTTGATGAGCATTACTACCACTACTCGAATTGGATAAATTTACCATTTTTATCTAAAATTATAAATAAATAAGCATTTTTAGAAGTAAAGATTGCTAAGAATCATATTATATAGTTAAGAAAGGAGAAACAACCCATTGATTAACCACGAAACAAGCAAATAAACAAAGAACTATTCGTATACGAAAAAAATTTTATTGCAAAAATTAAACATTAATTTGCTTTATAATTACATATTTGTTAGTATTTGACACAAGAAAATAGAAAACAAAAACACTGTACGAAACATGATACTCTATCTCTAATATTAGCGAATTCTAAAATTCCATGAAAGAAAAAATAAATAGTCACGTTTTTTTATCTTATTCCTTTGTTGATGTAATACTATTTTGAATCAACATTGATAAAATACGGAAATTTTCTTCAATTTCTTTGAGTAGCTTTATTCAGGAAAAGCTTGAAAAATTTTCCACAGATTTTATTTCCTTATAAGGCAGTATGAATTCTAATTTGAAAGATTTTCCGTAAAATACTGTTGTTTTTTTTCGAGCGCCGCTCGTGTCTACGGGATGACTCTGCATCTTTGTTCTGAGATATTGTCCAACTTAGTCATCCAGTTGTTTTCACAAATAAATGTACACTAAACTGAATGACTAATACATAAAGAAAATTATTTGCACATCAGCCATGTATTTTTTTAAAATTACCATCTTCATATAGTTCATATAGAAAGTTTCTCAATTGATCTGATGTCTTTTGTGATTCAACCTTAACTTAAGATATTCTTTCTTTTTCTCAATATTTGAATCATTCAATCAACAGTTGTTAACAACGTTTCATTTTGTTGTGTTAAAAAACTTTCTCCCAATCGATAACTAGTTGAGCCTATTGAATGTTGTCATCGATATTTCAATTGTTTTTCAAACTTTTTTGCTTGAATAATTTTTTACACTTTAGAGAATAGAAAGAAAATCCCGTTTTTCGAAACAAATTAAGTAGAACAAAACGTTTGGTGGCATGTTGATTATGTTTACTGTGATTTTTATCGTTTAAAAATATGAAATTCAAATAAATACGTGAAAACTTCATAAATAAAAGTCAAACGACGTTGGTTACGTTTCACATTTTCGAACGATGACGTAAACTTAGTCAAAATAATATCGGAGATCGTTTGACACACTCATCTATCACAAAATCATTCATCAATAGTAAATGTTCGAAATTGAACATAAATAAATTGTTAAATTCTAGAAATCAAATGAGTATTATTCATTTTAGAATAATTTTTTTGCAATTATTGGAACAGGACCACATTTTAGAGCGTACTCTCAGTAAATAAGTTTTACATATTTTCATTGTTTTGTTGTCGTAGACTAAACAGTCTTTTGTTTTATCCACTGAATACTTAATTCTTTTACACAGTGGAATACAAATAGTTGTGAAACAGTTACCCAATGTTTGATGGCTAATTGTTCAATCACACATATTTACTCATGATGCATTAATACAAATAAAATATTGTATCATCGACAAAATATTTCTTATTACAATATCTAAAGAAAAAACAAAAAAGATAATCAATATTGTTCTCTTTAATAAATTAGAATAGACTAGTTTGATTAGATCAACATTAAAAATGAAATATAGCAAATTTTTCTTCAGACTTTATTTGAAGTGAAAAAAAATGGATTTTTATTTTAGAATTTACATTGATTCACGTAATGAATATAATCGCATTTGACGAGCAGAATATATGATTAACTTACGAAACATTTTTAAATAAAAAAAAAATGAAATTTTAGTGACGTGAAAAGATAGCTCTTTCTTTCCGATACTCTCTCATTTTCAATATATGCCTGTAATGTGTGTATAAACTCGGACGGAGAGGCAGAAGTCATGTAATTTGATTTGGCTTTTATAATCTGTTAATCAATTTTTAATAAGACAAAAAGCAAATTTTGTAGTATCTCAATCTCAAGATCTTACAAAAGTTATGAACGAACATATCAATGATCAACAAAAACATATCAGTTAGTTGTCGGAATTTTTTTTGTTATGGAATAAGAGAAAGACAAAAATTGACTATAATCATTCAATAAAGACAAAAAAAAAAACTGGTTGAGGATAAAAATCAGCAAAAGAAAAGAAAAGAAAGATAAATTGCTTTACAAACAAAATATATAAATAAATTAAAAATACAATTTTTAAAGGATAAAAATGCATGGAGTGTATGAAACAGGGCAACCCTCTCTCGCTTGATAACCCCTGAAATATGATGAAAAGGAAAGACACAATAGATAGATAAATGTGCATACATACACACACACACACACACACACACACATTGCACGAGAAGAGAGAAAAAATAATCACTGTTTGCACACGTACAAAAATTATCTATCGGCAACAGAAAAAAAACAAAAAACGAAATGACACATATAAAGAATTACTTGGGAACATTTTCACTGTTGTCAGGGTTTCGTAATAAATTCTTACTATTGCACTTTAAAGAGGAGAATGAACAACACACGCGCACACACAGATATGATGAATGAGTATCGGAATATAATTAGATAAATACACACACACGTAACGATAAAAATCAATAATCAAAAATAATAAATTACAACAACAGCAACAAAAAGAAAACAAATTGACAAAGTTTCGTAGCCATTATTTTTGTTCTATGAGCTGTTTTATTTCCTCCATTAGATTTGATAAAAAATGTGATTCACTTGATTTTCCATCGACATTTATCGACGTTGTTTGAGAATCCTAAGATCATAAAAATTAAGTTTTTATTGTACAATAGCGAAACCCTATTGCAACAGTTTTCATTTAATTTATATATAAAATCGTATCAGTGAAAAAAGATGTTACTAAGAGTAATAAGTAACACTCGTTGAAACTCGCTAAATCCCTTGACTGTAACTCATAGACCACACTTAGAATTTTTCAAAGATCTTCTAATAACAGGAGATTACGCTCACCCATTGTTTTGGGCTGAAACCAATTCATATATCGGTAGAGATGTCTGGAGATTCTTTAAAGCTCCTAGAAACCAGAATCTCCTAGGTTAACTCCTTCCTGTACCATTCTAGATTGAAATTAAAAGAATTGTATGTTGATAAAAAAAAACTGTTTTTTTCTTCATACGCATTCATCACCTTGTGACAAACAGAGAGATCGTTTATCATCCGCAAGTTACAATCAAGGAAACATCCTGATAGAGAATCTCCTATATTTGTGATTTTGAAAACTCGAGAAATGACAGAAATGACGCATTGAAATTTACCGTTTGTTTTAATAGAAGTGCCACTGGATGTCCAAGAATTGATTCACTATAGAGTGATGTTGCATTTCCTATCTTATCAACAACTAAAATAAAAAGGAACAGTGAATATGTAATTTGTCTAATAATGAAATATATACCTGTAAATCGATACATTTGACATAAATAATTTGTTAATGAGTTTAAATCATGACTAGTCGTTACTTTCATACTGTATTTACTTGTCAATGATGAAGATCCAGTATTACTCAATAGATCAGCAAAAGCTACCCTATAAAAAACGAAACATGCATGTATAATAGTTAAAGATTGGAAGTTGATATACGTACGAATCAATTGATGTGTTTTTCAAATATTGCGAACATGGTAAATCAAGTTTAAATTCAAGTTTATCGGTTTCGATGTTATCATTCGATTTCTAAAAAAATTAATTTTTTGATGTTACATTTTGAAGTGACCGGGATCTCATAATTATATCCTCTATGTATGTTATACAGACGATAAAACGATGCGATGAGAATCATCTGCCCGTTTCTGATCTAATTTCCCCAAAACACAAAGAATTTTAATTTTTCTATGATCTAACAAATTTCAGATTTAGTTGAGAGAAAGCATCGGATAGAAGTCAGTCAATAGTGTCAATTATCTTACAAGGAAATCGTCTCAAGTGATCTAATTAAAACTAATTTTCGAGTAGTTCTTGATGCTGATTTTGAATCTGATATCTATTTGTCTCCTTATTGAGTTTCTGAGTGGATATTTAGAAGTCTGATCTGTAGAGAACGGAGATATTCAATAAAAACTTATTCAATCGTTTCAAAATTTTTTCCATACTGGCAACTTGTTGAGCGCTACAAACTAACTAGATCTAGAGATCAGACTTCTAAAGAACTACTCAGAAAGTCAATAAGAGGAATTTTGTCGGACGGATTTATACTAATTCTGCTAGAGATATTGACCATCATACGGATAATCTTTTCTATTAAACAAGTATACTAATCATACGTACTTGCACAGAACATGTGAATGTTGTGGCTAATTTTTGTGCAAATGAGATTTGAGTAATTAAAAATTCAATGTGTAAATAATTTTTACTATAGGGGAAAAGTGTTACTGATGGAAACTTAAGTGATTTTGTCTTTTGATCATATATCTGTGATGATAAAATTAATTTTGAACTTAACGAATCAATAATTTTTAATTCACATGAGTTTATTATGGACGATGTTAAATTTTTTAATAAAAATTTGACATTTAAATGATTATTTGTCGATGTGTGTGATATAGAATATTCCTAAAAATACAGATCATCAAAAAATCTACATGCAACAACCATAGCATTTACAAACAGAGAATGAATTTAGATTTTGATTTTTGTTTGTTGCCTGAATATGCCCTTGCTATTTTTACTTACAACTCTAATATTTGATGATTGTGCAGCCAATTTATAATCATCAGCAACGGTATTATTTATTGATGTTTGTTCTGTATTAAATTGATCATCATTCATTATGTCAAACAATTGTGTTTCTGTATTAATATTATTATTGTCTACTGGCGTTACTTCAGTAGTCTTTTTTTTCTTTTTTTTTGATGATTTTTCTTCAGTGTTATTGACCGATGGTTTTAGTTCATTTTTTGTTTCTCCTTTTTTACTTGACTTTTTCTTGACAGTAGTGGATTCATTCTGAGTTGTAACAGGAGATTTTTGATGGTTGTCATCATTGTTTGGCGATAAAAGTTCATTATAATCACCTAGAATGGATAAATTTTAATTAGAGAAAAACGTACGTAAAAAAAACTTACTTCGTGTTCTTTGTTTAGATGTCGGTATTGTTGGCTTTGTATCCACATCCTTTGGTGACTTTCTTTTATCTTTTGTCTTTTTCTTGTGTGACTCTTTTGTCTGAGATAGTGACGACTGTAAAACGGGAGGAGCTGTATCTTGAACAACTGAAACTTGCTGTTGTTTAGGTTTAATTATATCTTCTAGATTAATGTTGAGTGCTCGATGTGGATCATTCTTTTTCATATTCTTATTGTTCTCGTCATCTTCAATATCTTCTTCATTTTCTTGAGCACCTTCGGGTAGCTCACCACCACGTTTTACTTGAAATTTTGGATAGAAATCATCGTCATTTTCATTTTCATTATTAACATTTGTAGTAGTGTCGGTAGTATGTTTACTTTGTTTTTTAGATTTTCTTGATTTTTTACCTTTAACATCTGAAACGATGTCTGTTGAATCCTGCGATGTACTTTTTGTTTTCATTTTTTTTTTTAAACGTCGATTTTCTTCGTCAATTTTTGATTGACGATAATATTGATCGGATGATGATAATGCTAAACTTATTGGAAGAGTACTACTATGACCACTACCAGCAGGGAAAGGAATTTGAGAACCATTTAATACCTAAAATAATGATTTTAGAAGTTAATTAACAAAGAATATGCAGATAAGGAGTTTGAAAAATAAAGAGATTACCTGTGTATTACTTTGTTGTGTGAGAAGTGATGATTTTGATATATCTTTCAAGTAGAATGGATTCAGTTTTTCGCTTTGTTTTCGATCTGCACGTTGTTTTTCTAATACTTCAGCACTTGGTTCTTCGTAATATTTCGATTTTCGATGTACACCATCAGTACCAGATGATGTTAAATTACTTCCATGATAATAGCTATCGCCTCCAGCTCCATGACTCTCTTCATGTCCGTAAAATAATTGATTTGCGTTTTGTGAAGACGAAGCCAACTCTGTTTCGTCTTCGCTTTCTGATGGTGGATCATTGATCCAGGCATCCAAATCCAGACTATAATACAAAAAAAATAAACAGCTAGATTTAAAGAAAAGATAGGAGAAGCTGGTCTTTTATTCATTCTGCCTGTGACTAATCGAGATATGGACAGATGTTACTGTCGTTGCAGAGTTGGGTTTTCTCAATCTAGAAAAGATGTTTGATACAAAATGGGTTGATACCCCATTTTGCATTTGTGATCAAATCGGTCAAGACAGTGTTCATAATTTCTTTCTAAACTGTTCTTCTTTACACATAATTCAGAAGTGTTCCTCTCACTAGTCTATTACAGCGTCCTACAACGCACTAAGAGGCTTTAGTGATTCCAAGCTTAGTATAACGAGATTTTCTATCGCGTCAATCTGATTAAACTAAAACTCATTTCTTTTTCTTATAGAACATACACACCACCACCCATAAATGACATATACAAACTCTTAGATTCTCATTCTTACTTTCAACTCTCCGAGAAGTTGTGTATATTTATCTTAATTCCACTTATGTTTTACGTAAGCAAGTATATATATTTGTTTTCTTCTCCTTTCTAAGAGATACTTGTTTGATTCTTTTTTTTGATATATACAACAATGAATTACTAATATCTGTTCGTATATTATGATAGTTGTAGTTTTTTTCTTTCTTTTCTTTTCAAATAAAGTTGCTTAAATCAGATAGAATAAAAATCGACTGTTGTAAATGAAAAAAGGAATTTAAAACCGAGAATAAAGGTTCTATTCACTTGCTTAATCATCATTTGCTTTTCTTCAAAATGACACAAGTAAACACCAACGGTACATAGAACCTACCCTTGTGGTATCGCCACTTTTCGTTGTGCCTTGGGTGCAACTGGATTTAGAATTCCTTCAAATAACGCTGATAATTCTGATGAATTAAATTCATTACGTTCAATTAATTTCAATGCGGTTTTCAAAAGGTGTAAAACAGTACTAGCCTGAAAAAATGGCAAAAATAAAATGAATCTAGCTGAGAAAAAGCAAACCGTTCGTTACTTACTCTTTCTTGTGCTTCAACATCTCCACTCATTAAAAATGCTGATAATTTATCTATAGTGCTTGTAAGCAACTCTTTGATATCGTCGGTTTTATTTTTCTCTTCTTGAGCCGTTTGAGTCAAAATGTAGGTGATAATTTTTAGAATATTTTGAAAATAAACTGATTGAATATGTCCAGGAAACTGAATAATTTTTGTATTCAACATTGAATTTAACGTTTTTTCTGGTTCTTTCAAATGGCTTGAACAAAAAAATCAAGAATGTTTTTCAATCACAAAAAAAAAGTGAAACTTACGAGCAAAACTCTCCACAGATCCACGCAGCGGCATACAATACTTCCGCTACACTTGTTGAATTTGAACCAACAATAAACATATGCGCATTTTCCAATAAAATAGCCTAAAAGAACAACCATTGATATTCGTCATTATCAAACGTATAATGTTTGTTGATATTCTCTAGTCTTGAATATTTATTCGAACTTACCATTTGATTACAGGCAAATTGTCTAATTGATTCTACTCTAACGGCTACGTCTAACATTTGTAATGATATTAGACTACCATGTTTTGTTCCTTCTAAACGTGTCAATTCAACCAAAATACTTATATACCTATAAAAATAGAGAAATGTAATGCTGATATCTACGCAATTTAGGTAATTTTAACTACCATTCAAAATTTGTGATATGTTGATAATCATTTTGACTACAAATATCGATAATTTTTGATAATAGTTCATCTCGATAATGTGAGCCTTCTGCTTTATCCATATGAATCATTAATTTTCGAACAATATCCATTAGATTCTTTTTCGATACCTATTCAAAAAAACAGCAACAACAACAATAGAGTTTCATTGTTTTTCAAACGATGAGATCACGCGCACACCTACCATTCCTGATAGAAGATCTAAGGCTCGTAAACGTATCGATTCATCTTTATCATCCAAACATTGCATAATTAAATCATTATGTGCTTGAACACTTTTTGGATGAGTTTGTAATATTTTTGACATGGCCAATAAACCAAGATATTTAACTGGAATAACAAGTTATGTCTAACGGAGAATTTTATAAACAATTGGAGTAACTTACGATTTTGATCTGAATCTTCAATGAGAATACGTAGTTTTTGTACACATAACTAAAACGACAATATCAATGAAGTTTCGAATTCAGGAATAAGAATTAAACTTACTTGAATGGAAGAACTGTGATTTGGTAAACCGGAAGATATGGAAACAAGAACTAAAATAAGATAGACATAGTATTTCTCATATTGCCAATCGTGTTGGTAACAAAGCTGTGCAAAAAGAAAGGTAATATATGGTGTTTGCAATTGTGTTTTGCGAGAGTAGAAAATACTTTTTTGACAGATAGTTTCATTTCATTTCATTAAAAAAAGATTTTTACAAAACGATCACACTAGACCAGCTTTTCGAGAAAATTAGGCTACTGATATTAATTTGTTTTAACTGATCGTAAGCATCATTTGTTGTTTGTTGCAGAAACTTCAAAGATGGGCGAGTGCTAGGTTTTTCGAGTACAAGTATGAGTAAAAGTACTCAAAACTTTTAACTTCAGTTTTTTTTTCTTCATATAACGGTCAAATATTTAAAAAGTTCACACCTCCATTCTTCGATTTTTCCAGATGTTCAGTGTAATTGAACTAGTAATGACATAAAGTGTGTTATTTTTGCTTACATATTGTTAGTTGCAGCATTATTTATGTTTTTAATCTGAAAATATCGTTTTGTTTGGTAGATGATAAATTATAACTTTTGAATATATATATATATATATATACATAAGAAAAGCATAAACATCATTATAACAAATGTTTGTTGCATTACACAAAACAAACAGTTTTTAGTTAAAATGTACTCAAAAACCAAAATATATAAGTACTCACACAAGCACTTTACGAGTATCCAGTACTCAATTGTCGAGTACGAGTACTTCAGAAACGGTACTCGAGTATCATCTCTAAGAAATTTGGGTAGGAACTTTTCCTATCCTGATCATGTGATAGGTAACTACCATCTATCGAAAAGAGCGTCAGTGAATACGTTAAGAGCACATCATTTTTTCTCTTACCTGCTATAACTGTATTGATACATTCATAAAGCAATGACATTGCCGAGGTACTATGAATTAAATTTGTTAATGGTTCAATTAATTTTTTTCCTAGACGAGGTTCCAACGGTGTTAATGCCCCAAACTAAAAAGAGAAAAAGTTAAAAAATAATCTTAGCATAAATATATTCATATTTTAACATCTATTGAATTTTTCATACCAGTTTAATTATTTTAATTAATACCCAGTTGTTTGTTGAAGACGTCATTAGACGAAAGAATATTGGAGCTAATGCTAAATAATTTTTAGGATTTCGACGAGCTAATTCACATATAACATTAACAGCAGCTGCTTGAACACCTAAGAAAAAGATTTTCATAGATTGTAAATATACAGATCAAGAGCGCGAATATCTCTTACCTGGATCAGGATCTTCTAATTTTTCTCTTAGACGTGGAAACGCTGGTTTTAATGCATCCGGATTATTTAAAAATACTTTGTACAATAATAGCACAGCTCGCTTTCTTATATAAGGTTTTGTCGATGTCATCTGAAGTACATAAACAGTAAAATTTTTAAAGCTAAATTTTATTGTAAATATTTACCAAACTCATGATATCATTGGCAAGATCTCGGGCTAAATCTCCATTAATAAAACAGGATAAACCACTCATGGCTATACCAGCTTCATACATAGATGAACTATTTAAATCCTATAACAAGCAAGGAAAAGAGAGGAAAATGTTTTGTTTGAAAAAAACAAAAAACAATTACCTTGCGAATCATATTTGTTGTTAACATCAGTACGTCTGTGCCTTCATGGAAACATTGTGATGCAGCTAAATAGCCAATTCTCTATAAGTAAAAAATAGTATTTTCTAACAGCATATCATTATTTGATTTAATATATCAAGTTTACTTTGAACGTGTATTTCGATGAACTCATAACTTCAATTATATTAAATGAACTCCAAGATATATCATAGCCAAGCATTTGCAGCTAAATAAAACACATATTATATATTATTATCTAATTCTGACAACTTCTATTATGTAATCACAAATAGTACACCTACTCATATGTATATTCAACTAAATTTTCAACAGTGAAGCGTGACATTTTACTTACGTAGGTTAGTTTATTAACAGCATTTGCTTTGATAGCAATATTATCTTGTTTAAGTTCTTGTTTAATTTCATCGATACATTCGGCGATATATTTAGCCTGAATAATTAAGAAAATAAATTAGAATAGATTTTTGAGAATAAAAACATCATTTTACTTCGTTATCTTTGTGATTTCTTATGCCGCGAACAATATCATGAAGACTTTTATCAAATATTTGGCCAAAGCCTTCTTTAGCGCGCTTAACAACTTGATCCATTGTGGACGACATCGTTACTGCTGAACAGATAACAAAACTATACTACATAAAAACGCACTAATAATACATCTGAAAATAACAACAACAAGATGAATAATCAGAACATCTAGCATTTTTTTTAGATTTTGGGATGTTTCATGAATCATAGTGAAATCATACCAAAAATTGACTGAGACCTAGCATCATATAGCTGAAAAAAACGAAAACATAACCACAAAAAATACAGCATTCATTTTATTTCAAGCCGACAACGAATCGGATAAACAAATCCATTTTTTTTTTCACTTTTTTTGACGAATAAATTTAGGTGAAGCTTGGAATGTATCGATCTTCTTACGGAACGACAAATTATCCATATGCTAAACTTTTGCCGTCCTTGCCATGTTCACGAGTGAATTTAAAATTGTGGATGCATAAATAGAAACATGTTTACGAATGCTCACATGTGAAAACGGAATTTTTTTTTTACTTATTTTCATCTTCACTCACTTTTCCTACTAACAATGATGTGTGGATTTTTGTTTTGTATATTCACTGGTGCCCACGTGTGGATACATTTTTATTCACGCATGAAAAATGGTGGACAGACATTTTAGACAATGCGCACAGCCTGTGGATACTACTAGATTTCACGCGTTGATTCTAAAAAGAATTTTTTTCCGAGATTAGTTTATATCGTGGACAAGAAAATTTTATCACATGGGTAGATTTATTTTAACAGTAAACGGAGTGAACAGGGGATCGTATCACAAAAAAACTTAAGTCATGGGAAATGTAGTCTTAAAGTTAAGGTCGAAAACTTAAGTCGGACTTGAGTTATTGACGCATTTTTTGAATAGATCAGGCATTTAACGATACGATTCGACGAAAACGACATTCTAAGGATTAGAGAATAAATATTTCGTTATTTTGCGGGTTTTTATCCGAAGTTTGTCACTGTTGTCA